CAGCAGCGACAGAAGCTGCAGCAGCAGCAGTGCCCGCTTGGATGGCAGCCTGCAGGGGGCTTTTGCTGCGCAGCAGCAGCAGCAGCAGCAGCAGCATGGGGAACTTCTGAAGCATTGTGCTGCAGCGCTGAGCGAGCCAGGCGCCTCATCTGCAGCAGCAGCAACTGCAGCAGCAGCAGCAGCAGCAGCAGCCGCAGCAGCAGCAAACCAGGAGATTTGGATTCGCCTGCTCTGCCGCTGCCCTGTCTCTCCAGTGCAGATTTCCTTCAGTCGTTCTTCTCGAAGAGCTGCTGCAGCCCCGCTGCAGCAGCAGCAGCAGCAAGAGCAGCAGCAGCAGCAGGAGCTTTTGAGTTCCTTGCAGCAGACTTCCATGGGTGATTCAGCAGCAGCAGCAGCACTGGCAGCTGCTGCTGATGCTGCTGCTCTTGGGGCCGCTCTGGAAATGGCGGGCAAGCGGCTGAGAGTCCCCGCTGCCAGCAACAGGTGCAGCAGCAGCAGCAGCAACCGCAGCAGCAGCAGCAGCAGCAGCAGCAGTTTGGGGGCAAGCTCTTCAGCAACTCGGCGACGGTCTTTCGGAGACCGGAGTGTTGCTGCTGTCGCTGTTCAGAATGCTTCTGCTGCAGCAGCAGCAGCAGGTGCAAACGAAAGGGGCAGCAGAGCCCACTGGTGTGAATGCTTTGTGAGCATATCCTGCAGAGCAGCAGCAGCAGCAGCTGCTGCTGATGACGCTGCTGCTGATCCTGCTGCAGTGGACAGCAAGGAGCCGCTGCAGCAAGAGCGAGACGCAGCAGCAACAGCAGCAGCCGCAGCAGCAGAAACGAAGGCGGCTGCAGCTGCAGCAGCGGGGAAAAGCGCCACTGCTGCAGTGGCAGCAGCAGCAGCAGCAGCAGCTTACAGCAGCAGCAGCAGCAAATGCACTTACTTAGTGAAGGTGTCGAATGAGCGGCCGTCGAGCGACCGCCTCTTCTGGGCCATGCCTGCTTCGGACATGCGGCAGAGCAGCAGCAGCAGCAGCAGCAGCAGCAGCAGCAGCAGCTGGAAGCTGCTGCAGATCCCCCAGGGAGTTTCTTTAGAAGACTCTGTAGAGGAATTAATGTCCAAACAAAACTTCTTGTTGGAGCTCAAAAACAGAGTCCACAAAGGAGGCCGCATGCGCGAAACTCTCTGACGCTGCATGCAACGGGGCCCCACACCGTGCATGCATGCATGCACGCATGCATGCATGCGTGCGTGCGTGCATGCATGTATGCGTATTGCGCATGCTTGCCTGTGTACGTGTGTATGCATGCATGCATGCATGCATGTTGTGCATGCATGAGTTGCGTTTAGCGTGGATTGGTTTCCGCATATCTGGTCATGCTTTACAGTTTGCAGTGGCTTTTTAGACCTGAGAGTGCTTGCTTCTTTTGCCTGCTGCCACAGCAGCAGCAGCAGCAGCAGCTGCTGCTGCTGCTGCTGCTGCTGCTCTGCCTCTACAGAGGCCTGCGCAGCAGCGCCAGCGCGCAGCAGCTTTTGGGGCTTCCCCACAGAGTATTTACAGCCATTTCTGCCCACTGCGCGGCCAGTTGTCTGCGCTATGGCTGCAGCAGCAGCAGCTGCTGCTGCAGCAGCAGCAGCAGCAGCAGTTGCTGCAGCAGCAGCAGCTGCTGCTGCTGCTGCTGCCCTGTGCTTTTGCACGGCCAAAAAGAACTGGCCTCTGCAGTAATTTTTAAGTGCTGCTGTTTGCTGCTGCTGCTGCTGCTGCTGCTTCTGCTGTGCTTGTTGCTGCTTCTGCTGTGCTTTTTGGCCTAGTGTCCAAGAGGTGATGAATAAATAAATACAAGTAGGAGTTGCAGCTTCTGCCGCAGCAGCAGCAGCAGCACAGGCTGCTGCAGCAGAAGCACAGGCTGCTGCAGCAGAAGCACGGGCAGCAGCGCACCGCCCGAACTAGCCAAGCTCCTACTTCAGCAGCAGCAGCAGCAGCAGCTGCTGCTGCTGCTGCACCCTGGAGGTTTGTTACAATGCAGAAAAGAGCTTTTAGTAAAAGACTTAAAGAAAGAAGGTTCGACAAGGGGGCGCCGTTCAGCAGCTGCAGCAGCAGCAGCAGCAGCAACAGGCTGGACGCCGCTCTGCTGCGCTGCTGCAGCAAGGCGCTGCTGCTGCTGCACTGCAGCTGCTGCTGCAGCAACAAGCTGCTGCTGCTGCTGTACCAACTCAGAATCTTCACTCGTCGCTGAAGTCGCTGTCGAACGCCTCCAGGGCATCCTGAGGTGTACAGACACTCAAAACGGAGGTCCTTTGCTGCTGCTGCTGCTGCTGCTGCTGCTGCTGCAGGCCCGCTGCAGCAGCAGCAGCTACGCTGCAGCTTCCTGTTCTGTCGCTGCACCAAAGACCTGTTTGCCGCCAGCAAACTTACGCTAAGGGGGCGGACAGTTGCATCTGCTAGTACGATCTGCTGCTGCTGCTGCTGCTGCTGCTGCTGCTGCAGCAGCAGCACAAAAGGACCTTCACGGCTTACCTCTGCTGCAGCTACTGCTGCTGGCTGCGTCTTTGCCTCCAGTGCGTTGCTTGTCTCCTTTCGTTTCTTTCTGGGGCCCTCGTGGTCAGTGTGCTGCTGCTGCTGCTGCTGTTGCTGCTGCTGCTGCTGCTGCTGCTGCTCCAGCTCTGCCCTTTTCTTCTCCTTTTGTCTGCGCCTCTTCAGCTGCTTCGCACTTAGCGTTTCTTCAATTGCTGCAGCAGCAGCAGCACCCCACACGCAGCAAGAAGCACTGCAGCGACGCTGCCGCTATCAACGAAGGCTTCTGCAGCTAGCCTGCCATTGCTGCTGCTGCTGCTGCTGCTGCTGCTGCTGCCTACCCTTCTTCTTGCGGTGTTCTGCTGCTGCTGCTTCATCTTTAATGCCATCGGCCATCGCCTGCTGCCTCTCCTTAACTAGTCTTTCGCTGCAGCAGGGACACAGCAGCAGCACAAGCGCAGCACAGCTGCTGCCCTCCCCCTCCCGTGCTGCAGCAGCAGCTGCCGAAGCAACAGCTGCAGCAAGAGCTGCAGCAGCAGTTGCTGCTGCTGTAAACGCACGGCAAATGCGTGACAGCCGCAGCAGCAGCTTCAGCCAGAACGAGGGCAGCAGCAGCAGCTTCAGCAACAACCAGGGCAGCAGCAGCAGCAGCAGCAGCTTCAGCAACCAGGGCAGCAGCAGCAGCAGCAGCAGCAGCAGCAGCAGCAGCAGCAGCAGCTCGTCTCACTAGAAGGCCAAAATGGGCAGCTGCTGCCGCTCCTTCTCTATTGGAAGAACAGCAACTCGACCGACAGGCAAATCAGTGAGAGACAGCCGCAGCCGCTTTACTGTTTCTGCGCTTGTTGCTGCTGCTGAAGACAGCTGCTGCAGCTTCTTGGCTGCCCCGAAGTGCTGCAGCAGCAGCAGCAGCAGCAGCAGCAGCAGCAGAGGCAGCAGCAGGTGCACGCTCACATGCAAGCCGCGAACGCAACAACCGCCGCAGCAGCACCTAGCTACACAGCCCTGCAGCAAACAGCGCCAGGCCTACGCCTGGAGCAGCAGCAGCAGCAGCAGCAGCAGCAGCAGCAGCAGCAGCAGCAGCAAAAGCACTCACGGCACATTTCTTCGTAATTTGCTTCAAAGAAGACAAAATTGGCAGCAGCAACTCCGGCAGCGCGGGATGCGCAGCAAGCTGCGCCAAATGGCCCGCCAGCACGTAAGTGCCGAAGTCCACCAGGGACTCCAGCGCCTGCAGCAGCAGCAGCAGCAGCAGCAGCAGCAGCAGCAGCAGCAGCAGCAGCAGCGGGCGGGGTGAAAGAAAATGCTGTTGCTTCTTGAAAAGGCAACGGCAGCCACGAGAATGAGGGGCGCACAGCAGCTGCGAAGGACGCTACAGAAGCAGCAGAAACAGCAGCAGCAGCAGCTGCTGCTGCTGCTGCAGCTGCTGCTGCAGCAGCAGCAGCAAAGGAGCCTACATGGATTGAGTTCTGCTGCGCATGGTCAATCTTGAGGCAAGTCTCTGCATGCGCCGTAGCAGCAAGCTGCAGCCTGAGCTGCTGAGGTGCAGCAGCGCCAGTTTTTGCTGCTGCTCCCTTCCTTTTGTTGCGCTGCGGCGCTGCTGCTGCTGCTGCTGCTGCAGCGGCGCTGCTGCCGCGCCTGCAGACTGCTGCGTGCTGCTGCAGCAGCAGCTGCAGCACAGCAGCAAGAGAAGAAGCAACAGGCACAAGAGCATCTGCTGCTGCTCCTGCCTTTGCAAGAATGTCCAGGAGGTTGAGGCAAAAGGGGGCGCTGGCGAGCTGCTGCTGCTGCAGCTTGACTGCAGCAGCAGCAACTGACACGAGAGGCAGCAGCAGCGGCAGCAAACGCCCCTGCTGCAGCAAAATGGAACTTCCCCACAACCCGCAGCTCTGCACAAAAGACCAGCTGAACAGCAGCGCATGCACTTGCTGCTGCCGGTGTCTTTTGCGGTGTGCTGCTTTGCTGCTGCTTCCCGCCTTCTTGCTGCTGCTGCTGCTGCTGCTGCTGCTGTTTGCTGCAGCAGGGGCTGCTGCGCCTCCCGCTGCCACGGCGCTGCGGACCGTCAGAGCCAACTGCGCACACACACACGCCCAGCGCCCCGCTGCTGCTGCTGCTGCTGCTGCTGCTGCTGCAGCTAGGGTTTAGGGTTTAGGGTTTAGGGTTTAGGGTTTGAGCACCTCTCGAATGGACTGGTAGGCAACTCTGTAAGCTGTAGAAGCTGCTGCTAATGACAGCAGCTCTTTCATTTCATTCAGCAGCAGCTGCATGCGATTTGCTGCTCTCCAAGTTCGCCGCAGCCCCAGTCTTGCTGCAGCTCTTTGGTAGGACCGCAGCAGCTGCTGCAGCAGCTGCTGCTCCTTCAGCTCCGCAGCAACAGCTGCTGCTGCTGCTGCTGCTGCTGCTGCGCCCCCGCCGCCCTTCCGGCCCTTCGCAGCGCCCTTCGCTGCACCTGCTGCCTGCTGCTGCTGCTGCTGCTGCTGCTGCAGCAGCAGCGTGCTCCGCAGCACAGCAAATGCTGCTAGCTGCTGCTGCGGCTCCTGCGAAAAGGCCCAGCAGCGGCAAACCACCTGCAGCAGCCGCCTTGCTGCTGCTTCCTGCGCGAGGCCCCACCGCAGCAGCTGTTTGCTGCTGATGGCCAGCAGCAGCTGCAGCACCAGTTCCCTGCTGCCTGCTGCTGCTGCTGCTGCTGCTGCTGCTGCCTGCCGCATCGTCAGCAGCAAATGGGTTATGTCCCCCCAGAAACCTTTGACCAGCCAGCGCAGGCTTCCGGTCACCTCAGGCGCAGCAGCAGCTGCTGCTGCTGCTGCTGCTGCTGCGCTGCTGCTGCTGCTGCTGCTGCTGCTGCGGCAAGCAAGGCCCGTAAACAAATGATCTGCTGCTCGCACAACAGCAAGAATCACAAATGAACAAGTTTCTGCATCTGGCAGAACAAATAAGCCTTTGCGCTGCTTCTGCTGCTGCTGCTGCTGCTGCTGCTGCAGCTGCTTGAGGGCCGCTTTGCTGCGCTGCTGCTGCTGCGCTGCGCCGTCCTCGTCCAGCTGCAGCTGCTTCGCAGCTTTGAATTTGCTGCGCTCTCCTGCATTTGCTGCTGCTGCTACTGCTGCTGCTGCTGCTGCTGCTTTGTTCTGCTGCTTCGGCGCCAGCTGCAGCACAGCGGAGTGCAGCGCCTCCAGCAGCAGCTTGGCCCCCCGAAGGGTCCCCAGCTGCTGCTGCTGCTGCTGCTGCTGCTGCTGCTGCTGCTGCTGCTGCGTTGCTGCTGCTGCCGGCTTGCTGAGAGGGTCTATGCCCACTGCCTTGCAGATGCCCAGAAACCGTTCTTGCGTCAGCATCCTTTTCTGCTGCTGCTGCTGCTGCTGCTGCTGCTGCTGCTGCCGCTGCTGCTGCTGCTGCGGGGCGTCTTCAGCTTCGTCGCTGCTCTCTGCTGCTGCAGCAGACTCCTCCCCGCTGCTGCTGCTGCTGCTGCTGCTCTCCCCGTGGCCCTTTTCAGAAGCAGCTAAAACAAAGTCCAAAAACTCCGGATGCTTTTGCTGCAGCTGCTTCCCCAAGGCCTCTTGAAACCCATCTTGGGGGGCCCCCAGGGGGCCCCCCAGGGGGCCCCCCAGGGGGCCCCCAGGGGGGCCCCCCCGGGGGGCCCCCAGGGGCCCCGGGGGCCCCTCTAGGTCTTCTTCATAAACCCCCGCATCTTCACTTTCTATTTCGCTGTCGCTGCTGCAGCGCAGCTCCTCGCTGCTGTCAGCTGAAGAAACCCCGCTGCTGCTGCTGCTGCTGCTGCTGCTGCTGCCGCTGTCTGCTGTTGATGCTGCTGCTGCTGCTGCTGCTGCTGAACCTCTTGGGAACTCCTCTTCGGCGCTGCTGTCGCCGCCACTGCTGCTCTCTTGCTGCGCCTTCCTCTTCCTTTGCTGCTGCAGCAACTGCTGCTGCTGCTGCTGCTGCTGCTGCTGGCCCTTTTTGTGGGGCCCGCGGCTGCCCTTAGGGGCCCCTAGGGGCCTCCAGGGGCCCCTGTGGCTGCTGTTGGGGCCCCCCCGTTTGGGGCCCTCAGCAGCAGCATTGTGCCCTTTTGCCATGGTGCTGCTGCTCCCGCTGCTGTTGCTGCTGCTGCTTCTGCTGCTGCTGCTGCTGCTGCTGCTGCTGTTCTCAAAGGAGCTCAGCGAAGCCACAAAAGCCCAGGGGCCTCCCCGCCCCACAGGAGGGCCTCAAGATTGCTGCAGGCGGCTTAGCTGCTGCTGCAGCAGCTTTTGTTTAAACTTTGTTGAATTTAAATTCATTTAATTTTAATTAATTTATATTTTCAAAAAGATTAAACAATTTGCAGCTTATGGCTCCAGAGCCGAACGAAGAACTCGGCTGCTGCTGCTGCTGCTGCTGCTGCTGCTGCTGCTGCAACCGTGGGGCCCCCCACTCGGGGGCTTCGAGGGGCCCCCTTCTTTCTGTTTTGTCTAAAAGAAATATTATTTTAAATTTAAATTACTTGCATTTAATTAAATAAATAAATCCTCAGAGTTGCTTTCTAGCGGAGAGAACCAGCAGCAGCAGCAGCAGCAGCAGCAGCGGGGGCCCCCGTAGCAGCAGCGGGGCCCCCGTAACAGCAACAGGTGCCCACCCAGCAGCAGCAGGGGCCCCCCGCAGCAGCAGCAGCAGCAGGGGCCCCCCGCAGCAGCAGCAGCAGCAGGAGCCCCCTGCAGCAGCAGCAGCAGTGGGGGCCTCCCGCAGCAGCAGCAGCAGCAGCAGCAGCAGGGGCCCCCAGCAGCAGCAGCAAAAGATCTACAGGGTGAGGGGCCCCCGATGGGGCCCCCCAATTCGAAAGAAATAAAAAAGTGAAAAGAAATGAAAATTAAAAATAAAAACGGAAAATAAAAAATGAATTAAAATAAAATTAAAACAAAATTAATAAATGAAAAATAGAAAAGAGGAAAAGAAAAGAAAATGAAAAAAGGAATTCGTAATAATTATTATTTATTCATTTTCGTAATAAAATGGGGAGTGGAAAATAGAAAAAAAGAAAAAAGAAATAAAAAGAAATAAAAATAAATAAAAATAGAAAGCAATAAGTAAAATAAAAATAGAAATAAAAAGGAATAGAAATGAAAAGAAATGAAAATAAAAATAAATAAAAATAAATAAAAATAAAAACAAAGAGAACTAAAAATAAATAAATAAATGCAAAAAGATAAAAAGACAAAAAAGGAATTCAGGCTTTTTAGAGGCTCTCACATAGTTCCATTATTTCTCATGCGCTGCAGCAGCAGCAGAAAAGGCAGCAGCAGCAGCAGAAACAGCAGCAGCAGCAGCAGCTGCAGAAAACGCAGCAGCAGCAGTAGAAGCGAGAGCAGCAGCAGCAGAAAACACAGCAGCAGCAGAAACGACAGCAGCTGCAGCAGCAGAAAGCGCAGGAGCAGTTGAAACGACAGCAGCAGCAGCAGCAAAAAACGCAGCAGCAGCAGCAGTAGAAACGACAGCAGCAGCAGCAGCAGAAAACGCAGCAGCAGCAGCAACAGATACGACAGCAGCAGCAGCAGCAGCAGAAAAGCCAGCAGCAGCAGCAGCAGCAAAGGTTCGCAGGCGCCTGCTGCTGCTGCGCCACTCGTGCTGCAGCAGAAAAGACAGCAGATTTGTCTCTTGGGATTTCTTTGAAGCAGCAAAAAGATGACTACCGCATGCAACTGAATTTGTCTACGCAGCAGCAGCAGCAGCAGCAGCAGCAGCAGCAGCAGCAACAGCAGCAGCAGCAACAGCAGCAGTAGGCACAGCAGCAGCCCTTAGGGCCTCATTGGGTCCCTGGGCCACGGAGGCCTTGCCTGCAGCCGCTGCTGCTGCTGCAGCGACAGCTCCTGCTGCTGCTGCTGCTGCAGCTGCTGCTGCTGCTGCTGCGCAACGCGTCTGCGGCGCTGGAGGCGTGGCTTTTGGTTTTTTTTTGCAGTTAAGGAGTAAAACTTTCTCCTTTTAATTTAAAACAAAGAATTGAAAGTTTAAAAACCATTTTTTGCTGCTGAGGAGCTGTGGGGCCCCCATTTAAGAGGGTCTTTTGGGGAAGTTTGGGCAGCGCCTTTACAGCCAAGTGGCCAGTGGCTAATAAGCCAGCGGTGTCTGGCCCCCGAGAGCCCCTCTAGAGGCCCAGAGGCAGCCCCAGACAAGCTGGGAGTCTTTTAAATGTTTTTTAAAATGTTTTAAAATGCATTTGAAGTGCATTTTGGGGGCGAAGCGGCGGAGAAATAGGGGCGGGAGGCGCCTGCTGCTGCTGCTGCGGCTGCTGCAGCAGCTGCTGCGGCTGCCGGGCGCGGCGCCTCTGCGCGCCGCTGGCGCTTATTTATATTCAAAATGGAGCTTTCGAAAAGACTTTTAATTTGAAATAAAGATTGCGGCGAGTTGAAGTGGGAATTGGGAAAAAGGAGCCGCTGAGTGCCTGTGGCGCGTCTCGGGGTGGCTGGCCGGCGGTGCGGCCGCGCGGCCGGGGCAAGTGGCTGGGGCGTTGCGCCCGGCTTTGCGGCGGAAGAAGGGGAAAAGTTGAACAGTAAAAGAAGTTAAAAAGGAAAAAGAAAAAGACTTTAACTTGTGCGGTTGTTGCGGCGGTTGGCGGGGCCAGGAGGACCGTCGGGGCCCGCTCACGGAGCAGCCGCAGCAGCAGCAGCAGCAGCAGCAGCAGCAGCAGCAGCGGTGCTGCTGCAGCGCGCCTGCGGCTCCCGCGAGGCTCGTTGAGTTTGCAAAAGCAAAACAAAAGTGGATTTTGCAATAATTTGGGATTTAGGGCTTTCTTTAGAGCCCCGGAGCGCGGGATCTGGCGGTAAGGGCGGCTGTCTGTCTGTGGCCTTCCCCCGGCCGGTGGCTGCTGCTGCTGCTGCTGCTGCTGCTGGTGCTGCTGCTGCTGCTGCTGCTGGCGGGGTTCGTTGGGCTTGTCTGGGCCTGAGGATTTGGAAAGGGAAATTTTGGAAATGGAAAGCTTCAAGAGGAGGCCGGAGGGCCCGGCGGGGCCTGTGGGGGCCCCCGGGGTGGCCGGGGGCAGCAGCAACGGGTACGTGGGCGGGCCTGGGAGCAGCAGCAGCAGCAGCTACGGGCCTCCGAAGCGGGCGCGGGTGGCGGGCGCAGCAGCAGCAAGCGAAGAAGCTGCTGCTGCTGCTGCTGCTGCTGCAGCAGCAGAGGGGGGCCCCCCAGTGCTGCCAGTTTGCCTCTTGGTCTCGGACAACATCGCGGGGGCCCTCATCGGCAAGGGCGGCAGCACAGTCCGCGAGATCGAGCGGGCCACAGGTGCACGGATTTTCGTGCAGCGGAACTCTTTGGGGCCCCCCGAGTTGGCTGCAGCGAAGCAGGCCGTGCAGGAGACTGCGGGGGCCCTGGGGGGCCCCCTGGGGGCCCCCCTGGGGGCCCCCCTCGCCCTCGACGTGGCCAAGATCGTGGCCATCGGGGGCCCCCAGCAGCAGCAAGTGCAGCAGGCGCTGCAGCAAGTGCTGGCCCTCAGCTGCAGCCACCCCACACACGCGGGCCAAGCTGCTGCTGCGCTGCTGCTGGTGCCGCAGCGCAGCGTGGGGGGCCTCGTGGGGCAGCGGGGAAAGACAATAGAAGAGTTAAGTTTAAAGTCCAACACTCAAATAAGAATAGTCCCTGGAGTTGCTGCAGCAAACGGAGACAGGGCCCTCTGCATAGCAGCGCAGCAGCAGCAGCAGCTTGCTGCTGCCATTCAGCTGCTGCTGCAGCAGCTGCAGCACCTGCTGGCTGCTCGCAGGATAGGGCCCCCCGACTTGGAGTTCCTCCTCGCTTTGGCTTCTTCTGCGCAGCCCCGGGGGCCCCGGGGGCCCCGGGCTCTGGGGCCCCAAGGGGGGCCCCAGGGGGGGCCCCTGGGGCCCCTGGGGGGCCCCCTCCCCGCCGTGGTCCCGCTGGGGGCCCCCTCCCCGGGGGGCCCCCCGGGCTTCTTCTCCTCGCCGGGCGCCTGGGGCCCCTCCTCCTCTTCTCCGGGGGGCCCCCTCGCAGCGGCCTCCCCGCACGGGGTGCAGGGGGGGCCCCCGGGGGCCCCCGGGGGCCCCGCCGCGCCCGGGGCCCCCGGGGCCCCCG